AGAAGAACTGAAGCATCAGATTTGGGAGAAAAGGGGAGAGCTGTCCCAAGATAAAGGGGGATGCGCTGGAAGGACATGAACTCTGTGTCACTGGAAGTGTGTGAGGCCATTCAGGCATGAGTGGGTGGGTTGGACCTGAGGACCAGTAGAGCCCCTTCTAGGCCTCACAGTCTGTAATTCCTGGAGGATTGCTGAGCAGTCTCCAGAACAGTCTCCAAAATGTTTTCCTTAAGTCACGATTCAGTGAAAATATATTCCAGGGCAAACCACGTTGGGAAAGGCTGAATTTTCTTTCTCTTGGAAACTCATGTTGTTTGTTAGGGTTGTAAAGGCTCTGAGAAGTTCTGCTGTAAGGAAAGCTATTTAATGCCACATTTCTTATTTAGAATGTGAAACTTCGGGAAGAGTGGCTTGGTCAGGGAGAAATCTGGCTTGGGAATCCAGGAGGCCTTGGTTAACTTAAAACATCTGGGAAGACTTCCCGATAGCATGACCTTGGCAAAGTCTCCTCTCCTCTCTGGTCCTTGATTTGAGGTTGATGTATAGAATTCATTTGTCCTGGTACCCAAGACAAGAGTGCTATATGTTTCTGTTGTAGATGGGAAAAGACAGGCAGGGCAAGATGCTGTGAGAATCCTGGGATGGGAGCCTTTTCCTGCAAGGCTGACTCGTGGTCATTGTTTGATGCCTTGAGGGTCAGGCATACACCTGGGATCATATGGGGAACATAACATTATAGATACTCATCATAATTATTACACTACTGTGCTGGAGCTGGTTTTTACCCACAAGCTTGTGAGAGCCCATAGTATGCTCCTTTTCCCAACACCACATTCTGCCACCTTGAAATCAGCCATGGTGGGAGTTACACAGGGAAATCAGCAAATGCTACAAACCAGGGCTCTCCCCTCCCCTAGCCAATCCTTAATTACTAGCACATCACTGATTAGCTATCATTAGAAGGTATTTCTTTAAAATTAGTCTCCCTTTAATCTTTGCAAATTTCTCACATAATATCTTTAAAGCTATATCCAACTACTTTAAAGATTTCTATTTTTTGATTCCGAAAAGCATTTTTTCTATTGTATTTCATAATCTGCTCCCCACATGGTTCCTAGCCAGAGCTTTCTAACAAAACACCACCACCTTGTGACAACTCCCTAAATTGCAGGTTGGAGTTCAGTTGGGTCGACCAAGAAGGAAGCCCATGGCTTTTTCACTGATGTGCCTTTTAGATGTTTCCTCTGGCCTGTCCTCTCAGGTTCTATATTTCTGTGAAGAACTACCCTGCTTGACCTTGTCGTTACAGCCTTGACAAGCAGTAAAAGAGGTTCAGCGGGGCCTGTGCCCCCCAGGGCATGATGGATTGAGGCAAAATCTCTAGTGCCTTGGGTTCTTGCCTCTCAGACTTAAGTGTGCCCGCGCTCTCCCTGGGACTCTTGTTAACATGCGACTTCTGATTCAACCAGTCTGGTGTGGGTCCCGTGATCTTGTATTTCTATGGAGCTCAGAGACAGTGATGCTGCTACTTGTCTGTGGATTACATTTTAGTAGCCAGGGTTGGTGGGGGAAAGAGAAAGTTTACCCGAGTGATAGGAATCTTCCCCTAGCTTCTCTTAGGAGATTGCCAGGGGCCATGTTTTGCCTTTTGGTCAGAATTCAGTAGCTGTGTGTTTCGAATGCATAGGCTTAGCTCATTTGATTCTAAATGTTGTTTGGCCAATTTGTTGATTTAATTTTAAAATTTTAGGGTTTTTTTGTGTTTTTTTTTTTTTACTTATTTGGAATTTATTTTGGTGTAGTGTAAGTTCAAAGCCAACCTGGTTTTTCCTCGAACAGCTAACCTCTTTGTCTCAACACAATTCATTGGTTAGTCCCCATCTTTCTACAAATTTATGAGCCTGCTTCTCATATATGAATTTTCTTATATAACCTAGAGATTGGTTCCAGACTATTCCATGTTGCAGGGCTGTTGTAGTTTTATAACAGATTTATAACATGTATTTTTATATCATATATATTATAACGTATAACATTAATTAGTCCAATGAAGCCAGTCTTTCTTTCTTGACTGTTATCACTTAATTATGCAGATGAACTTTAATATCATTTTGTCAATAATAAAAGCATTTTGGGGATTTTGATTGAAGTATAGTAAACCTACACATTACTTTGAAAAGAATGAGCATTTCAGCAACATAGTATGTTTTTCTTTTCATGTCAAGTGACTTTTTATAGCTTTTAGTAGGATTTTACATTCTTGACATAGTATCGCACTTTTTTGTATCAAGGTTATTCCTAGATATGTGTTGCTTTTTTGCTGCTATTTTAAATATTATTTATTTTATTTTATATCATTTATTTCATATGATATACATTTTTATTTTATATTATTTATATTGTATTCATAATATAGCCATTAGCCAAATGTAGTAATTTAAATTTTAATTACAAGAAAATAAAACGTAAAATTCAGTTCCTTGGGTGCACCAGCCACATTTCAAGTGCTCAGTAACCACATGTAGTTATTGGCTACCATAGTGAAGAGCTCTACCACCATTGCAGAAAGTACTAGTGCACAGTGGTGAGTCCTAATTGTTGATCCATCACTTTTTCTTATGTGTTGTGACAGTATCTTATTTTATTTGGGAACACTTTTTGGTTTATTCCTTTAGATTTCTAGGAAGAGCAGCCACTTATATACCAGACTTCTGGTTTCTTTTCTGCTGCAGTATTATCCAGATTCTCCTCCTAAAGATAAAAGCATCTGATGGCAAACATGCCCCCTGAGGGTTGCCACTCCCACACTTGCTCGTGGCAGACATCACTAATCGATCACAGCACTCTTTGCTGTTCCCTGAACTATTGTTGTTTTCAGAACTTATACCTTAGTGCCCTGCTCTTCTCTGGCTCTTGAGCTGGAACAGGACACAGTGGCAGGCAATGAGGTGTCTTCCGCATAGGTACTCTCTGGGGGAGGGCTCTGATTCCACCTCCGGGGAGTAGTTCTCCAATCATCTTTCTTCCGTGACCCTCCATGGCTCCATTCAGGGGAGGGTCTGTCTTTTCTTTTCCCTTATTCTCATTGGCTGTATCTGAGGCAATCTTTTTCAGCTTGGGGGCCCAAGGATCATTTGCGGCCATTTTAAGTCTCAAACAGTTGCAGTCTCCTGCAGGCTGTGCTAGTAGTTCTTCTGGCACAATACTTTTCTGAACTGTTAGTCATCTTCCTGTTTGATTCAGCTGCACGTGGGGTGGTCACAACACGGTTGTTTTCTAGACATGCCTGTCTCTCTGGACTTGGTTGCTGGCACCTGACATTTGCTAGGCCTCTGTGAGGGAACCATACTTTTGGTCTCCTATCCCTCCCCATTCTTATCCCACTGAAAGAATGTACTGGGAACCATCTTGACTGGTCTTTGCCATAAAGTTGAGTGGTTTATTTTTTCTTACACAGATTTCTTGTACAATTTACATACTGTATAATTCACCATTGTAAGTGTACAATTCAATGATTTTAGTAAATTCATAGCTGTATAACCATCACCATATTCAATTACAGAACATTTTCGCCACGTGGAAAAGCTCCCTTGTGCTCATTTGTAGTCATATCTCAGTCCTGCACCCAACCCTAGCAATCACTAATCTTTCTAGCTCTATAAATTAGCCTTTTGTAGACATTTAATATAAATGGAATCATGTAATATATAGTCTTTGGTATCTTATGATAAGATTACACTTAACTTTTTAGGAAACTGCCACATGATTTTCCATAGGGAGTATACCATCTTATCTTCCAACTAGCAATGGATGAGGGTTCCCATTTCTCCACACCACAAAGCTAAGTTTTAATTAGCCTTTGTTACTCGAAGGCCCTCTCAGTTCTACTTTTATTGCTTAGTGTTGAATTTCTGGACTCTCTCTGTGCCTTTTCATTTCCACTATAAACTGCCCAATTCTCTGTAAAACCCCTTTCTTTCTCATAGTACTTTATCAAACACAGCTAATAACCACCAAGGCGTGCTACTAACATTCTGACTCTCAATCCCTTCACTTAAAGCCATAGCTCATTCAGCTTATCACCTGCCTTCCAAGTGAATCTGCCCATATTTTTACCAGGCCACCCCATCACTGCATAACATAGGTCACCTCCTTCCAGGCTTCAGTAATAGTTTCCTTGACACCCACTGCCTTGCCCAAACACAATGGATTTTTGTTACAGAAGCACACTGCTCCTGATAGCAATTGCTGTATTTGTCAGGATAAAGACGTTGTGTTCTAGTAACAAATAGCCCCAAATCTCAGAGACTTGTAAAACTAGCAGTTTTCATTCTCCTCATTCATGCTACATATGCAACCCGATCAGCTGTATCTCCGCCCCACATCATATTTATTCTAGAACCCAGACTGATAGAGTCACCCCTGCCTGGAATGGTGCTTGTCTTTCGGGAAAGGGAAGAGAGGGCATGTGAATTGTGCACTAACTCTTGAAACTTTCTCTCCCATTTATTTATCAGAGCAGGTGAAGTGGCTAATTCTGACATTAATGGGGCAAAGAAATATAATCTTCCCCCAGGGAAGGGCAGCAAATATTGTGAACAATAGTATCATTTATCACATTATGCTTTTCTTTTATATCCTGGGGACTCTGGAGAAGAAAGAAACAGCTGTCTCTATGTGGTAGTTTTGCCCAGAGCTGCTTAGAGCTCCAGTAAGACAGGGTGCCCTTTCAAAATACCCGACAGACGTAGGCCTTGATCTTCATGGTGTTTGAGTCCAGCCCTGTGGCTCTGATACACAGAATTATTCTATGCCATTCTTCTGTCTCTACCAGCCCTATGTGTTATGTTCAGGGAGAGATTTGACTGGATGGATTGTCATTTCTAGAGTTTGCTCCCCAATGTCTCATGTCCTCTGGAGCATTAATCAATTTTTTTTCTGATATCCAGCTTAAATGGATCCATTTTTTTTTTTTTAATTTTTAAAATTTTTCTCTCCAGCTGTCTTTTGGGGAGACATTGCCTTAGATGAAGAGGACCTGAAGTTATTTCACATCGACAAAGCCAGAGACTGGATCAAGCAGTCGGGAGAGGAAGGGGGACATAGCACAGGTAAGTACTGTGTCCCCCATTTTTTTCCTCTGGGGAGCAGGGTCAGGGATTCTGGCAAGGGTGGATGTGGACCCTGAGACTTCGGTATTTGACCTGTCAGTCCCAAGCCCGCCTGTCTGGGGAAAACCAGAGGGGTCGCTCTTTCTGCACTGCGGGCTGTGGAACTGGAGCCTCCAGACTTGCTGATTCTTGTACGAGAATCTCCACTTGCTTCTTTATCTGGAGGCTCAGGCTCCAGCTCAGAGGGTTCAGGCTTGAGCCCAAGCTGTCAGGAGTGGGATCACTCTGGGCTCTCAGGACTTCCGCCTCTGGGTGGGTCCAGCACTTCCCAGGGTTGGAGAGAATTACTACCCGGGCTCCATGTTGGTGATGTTAATAAGGCACGGCTAGGAAACATGTTCGCTTGGGGCGCTGTGCATTGTTTTGCAAACAAACCAGGAGCCCAATGGGCTTCAGACTTTGAGTACTCATCTCCCTCCTTACCTCCATCCTGGGGGGAATACCAGTGAGACTGGTCCTTGAGTTCTTATCCCCCTCTCTCCCAGCTGGGCTCAGACACCTCAGCTCTGGGGAACCCCCATTCTTAGCAGGAGCAAAAGGGGCTGTACTATGAGGCTGAAGGCTGGTGGAGCTCATCCTGGCTGGCTCTTTGGTGACCAGGGCTCACATATGCCCAAGGTTACACTGCCTCTTCTCCCTGCCGCCTCTCCCCCCACCCCTGCCTTTCCTTTCTTTTTCTTTTTTTTAAGATTTTATTTATTTATTTGACAGAGAGAGATCACAAACAGAGAGGCAGGCAGAGAGAGAGGGGGAAGCAGGGACCCAGGATCCTGAGATCATGACCTGAGCCGAAGGCAGAGGCTTTGACCGACTGAGCCACCCAGGTGCCCCTCTTTCCTTTCCTTTGAGATTTTTAAAAAACTTATTATGGTAAGAATACAAGAGATTTACTCTCTACACATTTTCAAGTGCACAAATAATATTATAAACCATAGACTCAGTGTGGCATGGTGGATCTCCACAACTTATTCATCTTGCATAACTGAAGCTTTGTACCCTTTTTGGGGGGCCCTGTCATGGCCAAGTGCAGTGCTGGAAAAAGAGGAGTAAGATGGGATCCCTGCCAGCAGGGAGACTATTCATGCCAGGCAGACAGAGTTTAGGCCTGGACAAGCTCTTTAACATCTCCAAGGGTCAGTTTTCCTGTCTGCAAAATGGGGATGAAACCATCACTCATGCCACAGGGGGTTGGGAGGACCAAGTCCCAGGGTAATGGGCCAGCCTGGTGCCTGGCTCGCAGCCAGTTGTCAGGCACTGGCAGATAGTATCACTGAGGTGCTCCTCTCTAGTGGAATGAGACAGACAGGTGAAGAGATAAACCGATTCCTCACGGCAAGGGCTATAATGAACCGAGAGAAGTAGGAAGAGAGAAGAGTGAGGGGACGAAGGCCAGGTGGGCGAGCCAAGAAAGGCACTGTGGGAATGGATGCTCTTGCATTGTGTCTTGAAGGAAGAGAATGAGTTCTTGAAGTCAAGAATCACGAAAAGAACATTTCAGGCTGTGGAGAAGCCACATGGGGAATATGACAGGGCCCATCTTTCCTCAGGGAGCCGCGGAAAGGTGAGAGTCACTAGATGATGGCTCTTTGGGGTAGGCTGTGGTAGAGAGCCATGGAGACCCCAAGGAGAGGCTGGGAGCTGCCAGCTGGAGGCCAGCTCTTGGAGAGCTGCCTGCCCAGAAGTTTCTCTCAGGATGCTGCAGTGAAGGGAAGCCTAACAGCTTTGCCTTCGCCTCCCTCACAGCACTCCTCCAAGGCCAACATACTCAGCCTCTGGTCTAAGAACTTGAGTCTTCTCTTTCCTTCTTCCCTGTGAACTCAGAGAGGGCAGGGTCTATCTCACATTTGTCTTTGGATCCCTTGGAAGTGTCCCAGGCCCCTGTATCTACAAGGCACTGGCCAACGGGGGTGGAGAGGAAGAAGGAAGAGGTTGGCGGAGAACGGCAGAGCCTGGAACCATCTCCTGTGGCCTAAATGATCAAGGCTTTGCTTCCAGAAGTGTGGGTAAAGCACTGCTTGTAGTCACGGGCTTTAGGATCAGACTGTCTGGGTTTGGATCCTTGAGCTGGGTCTCAGTTTCTTCATCTATCAAATGAGAATAGTGATGTTACAAGGACAAAAAGAACACGTATAAAGTGTTTAGCACAGTGCCTGGCTAATAATAAGTGCTCAATAAATATCAATTCTGCCACCTCCTCATTTAGTAGTAGTAGTAGTAGTATTTGCAGAAAGCACACTGACCTGGGAGGACAGTGGGGGAAATTCGCTATGTGTGGGAGGGAACATTGGCAGCTTGGGTTTGAGGCCTTTGAAACATATACCTACCTGGTGTTTCCCCCTTCCCAAGCTTAGAATATTGTTTCTTTCTTTCTTTTTTTTCTGGTACCCTTTTATGGCAAAGTGATTTTTATCCTGATCACTTTTCTCTGTGGGCCAATAGTACTTTGCTTCCATCTAGAATCATTATTTTATTTTCAAAATGGGAATATTTTTTATTGTTTTTGTTGATGAAACTAATACTGCCCGTTGTTTTAAAAAAAAAAATGTCCAATAGCTTAAAATTGTACATAGTAGAATGTAAAAATCTCCCATTCTCCCAGCCCCAGGGATCCACGTCATTATCTGTTCACTGGATTCCTTCCAGCCTCACTGGGCTCAGGCTGTGTGCATACAGATATTTTGGAAACATAGAAGGGATTTTTCTCAACACTGTCTGGTGCAACCTGTGTCTTTCAGTTACCACCACCTTGTAGACATCTTTTCATGGGATACATTGTGATCTATCACACTTAATGCACAACTCTGCCATAATTCATCAAATTAATCCCATATAGACGGACACAGAGAGGGTTTCCCTTTCCTTCCTGTAATTTCTTTTTGTTAGAAACAATGGTGCTGTGAACAACTTTGAGCATTGATCCTTAAACATTTGCTTTGATTAAAAATAAATAAATAAAAAGGAACCACATCTTTACTCCGTCTTCCTGTTTCCAAATGTGTGGAAGGATGTGCTCTTAGATTTAGGTTATTTCATTTTTCAAGCTTTGGTTAGTGCTCTTGTGTTTTAGGGGAGGGAAGGAGGTTCAAGCAGGGGGTGGGGGTTGGAGGGGTGGGGCTGAATCCCTGGAGGGGGCTCCGAGTGGAGAGGGCACAGAACCCTGCAGTGTAGCCCCAGAGGCCTTCTTTTCCTGGTTCCTCCTGTGAGTTTGGAGCTGCTTTCTTGACTTCAGAATGGAACAATCTCATTGGCCTGGATGTGACCAAGGTGACCTCATTCCCTAGGGGTGCCCAATGTCCTAAATCCAGTGAGTGGCAGAACCAGGACTAGAAACAGCTTTCCCAGCTCCCATGTGTCCTCCACTAGACCAACATGTCCACCATGTTGCCAGTTAGAAGGAATAGAGAACAGCAGATGTGTGTGTAATTGTTCCTTTGCCATCACTTGGAGGGTAGGCTGGAGCCTCTCTGGGCCAAAGGGTGAGCAAAGACCTTGTGCCTGGGTTGGTTTATGAGCCCACATGGGGGCCTGCACTGGCCCCAGAAGAAAGCTGCTGGGACCCCAACAGGGAGCCTCTCATCATTCACTTAGAGGAATCAGTCTCCCTGCCTCTGGTCCTTCCTTCCCCATCCTGCCTTCAGGTGATCTTCCTGGCCCTGACCTTGCAACCCCTGGAGTGGGTAGAGTAGTGTCCTCTCAGACTCATGTCTACCTGGAACCTCAGAAAGTGACCTTGTTTGGAACTAGAGGATTTGCAGATGGAATTAGTTAAGGGTCTTGAGAGGAGCCATCCATCTAGTGATGGGAATCTTTAGAAGAAGATGGGAGCCCACAGACATGGCGAGGAGGAAGAGGGCGTGTGAAGAGGGCGGTAGAGACTGGAGTGAAGCATCTAGGAGCCTGGGGACGGCCACAATTGCCCGAGCCACTCCTGGTTAGCAGGAGGCGAGGAGTACTCCTTCCCTGGAGCCTTCAGAGGGAGCGGGGCTGTGACAACACCCTGATTTCAGACGGCTAGCCCCTAGAACTGGGAGAGAATGGCTTTCTGTTGTTTCAAGCCACCTACTTTGTGGTTCTTTGTTAGAGCAGTCCTCGGAGACCCACACGACAGCTATGTCCCATAAAACCCTCCATGGATCCCTATCCCTTAGCAGAGACATTCCTGAGTCTGACCTTGGTCTGCGCTGTCCATGCTCTGTCTACAACCTGGATCTCCAGCCCCATTCCCTCTCCTTTCCTCCAGCCAAACAGAATGACATCGTGTCTGTACAAGCCTCAACTTTCCCTCTGTTCAGCCTTTTGTTCCAACTGTGCCCTCTGCTCCAGGTCCCCATTCTGCGAAGAAAGAAGGGAAAGCCAATGACCCCACCGGAGCCCTCTAGCTGGCGTGCTCTCATGACGCAACTTACTCAGAACGGCTGCCGGCTTGGAAGGCCACCTGGGTTGACAGCACCATGAAAATGGGCCTCATGTTGCGTTTGAGGTGGAAAGAGCTCTATTTTCTCCCCATTTTCTGACAGGCCCCTGGCCCCACCATGGGAGCTCCCAGAGGAAGTGGCAGCAGCATCTGGGATGTGTGCGGGGTAAGGAGGCAAGAGCGCATTCTTCGCAGAGAGAAAGTCCTTCTGTGTGCATTTTATTTGCAGATAGAAGAATGGGAGCTCTGAGCAGCCATGGGCCAAGCTGTTCTATGAATGGGACCCTTGAATTAACATTGCTGAGTTTCCTAAAGCAGCTAATCGGATTAGCTGTGTAGTGAAGGAAGTACTTAGCGGGACACACACACAGACACACACGCAGGCACGCATACACTCTCCGACCGTCTTGCATCGTCTTCGATGGGATGGGGCAGAGCCCGAGAGCCCCGTTTCTGAGTTCTGAGACACCTGTTCTGCTAAACACACAAGGTGGAGGGCAACGTGGTTGATGTTCTGAACTTTTGT